ATGGTCCAAGCGAGTCTCAAGGTCATGGCCATGCCCACGCTTGGTCACGAAGATCAGATACAGACGACGAGGACGACGACGACGACCCACTGCCAGCTCCGCACTCTATTTTGACGTCCCTACCTTGCAGTGGCGACCACGCCAGCGACCAGAAGCCACCCTTCCCGCCTGTGCACGATGTGGAATCATTGGCGCAGCCAAGTCTGCCCATACGCAGTGAGGTAACTCAAAAGGTGCCGCCACTACGTGCGTAAAAGATACTACGCGGCCAGTCTCAACGACCAGCCTCATACTACGGTAGCTTCGACTCCACGGCATCGTCCACGATACGGTCCACCACGGGAGCCCCTTCGCCACGTCGTCGCCCAAGGCCACGTCACCACGCACCCCGATGAAGGGCATCCGCAGAGATTCCAACCAGGTCCAGGCCACACTGGGCTGAGCTCGTCTACGACGCGTCACCACCCTCGGTCCATTCACGGAGGCTCCTCCAAGACGCAGTGCGCCGCCACCCTGGTAGCGGCAGCTCTTGCAGCAGCACCCGCCCAGTGCTCGACACGCCGGCCGGTGCAGTTTACATCAGCATACAGCTCACGAAGACGACGCGGCGGCCCTGCCCAGAACAGCCTCACCTGGAAGAACACCGCCAGGCCATGTGCATCAGCACGCCAGAGTCTTCGGCCCAAAAACAAAAGACACCACCCCACCTACGGCCCTACATGTTGCGCTACGTCCCATCGGGGGCCGTAGCGTATACCATGCAAACACCCACGCCAGATGTCCAGGTATACGCCACGGCCCGTGGGGCCGCAGGTGGGGTGGTGTCGTTTGTTTTCTGGTCCAAGTCTGGCGTGCTGCTGTCAATAGCCTGGTGGTGTGGGTTGGCCGCGGCCAGACCATGGTTTGGTGTGGCGGCCAGACCAGACCACGGTGGCGGCCCAGAGTTCTCCGGATGCCCATAGCAAATACCTGTCATACCCTGCTGGCCAGTCGTGAGCCCTCCTCCTCGGTGCAATTGCGATCTGTGTCAGCAGCAGGCGCTGCTATTGAGCATGCCGTCCACCCCGTCTTCTTTCAGACATGTCTTGACGCTTCGGGTATTCCCAACAAACCCCGGGGTAAACTATACCAGCCCACTTACAGCTGTCTTTTGCTTGATAGTTGCGGTTTGCAAGCTCCGTGTCGCAGTCAACGATACAGTGAAGATGTCCATCGTTGACAAACATCAGCCTCCACGTTTGGCAGCGATCGATTTCTCACATCTATCGGAAAGGGCTCGCCCTTTGCCGCGGGCCCCCCTGAGATTGCTTGCGTGGCCATGCTTGACCGGCTGATTGGTTTAATCTCATGTCGGCTGGCTGGCTGGCACTTCGGCTGGCTGGCTTGTCTACATAGATGGCCGGAAGATGGTTTGGGCTGTTCATTGGCTGGCTGCTTGTGCGCGCCTGTAGCAATCAATGCAGGATGGTGGCTTCGGGAGCGCGCATCCTTTCTAACTTACCAGGTATGAGTGCCTCGAGAGCGCGCTTGCCGTAATTTACTCGGGATTGCGTCCTCGGGGGCGTCGCGAATGTCTATCATCTATTTGCTTCACTACGCGTTGTGGCCTAGGGGTGCGAACTTGGTGTAATTTACACTTGGCTGTGGCTTCGAGACCGCGCACCTGTTGTAATTTACAACGGGCTCTGGCCTCGAGAGCGCGAAACTGTTGTCATTTACAAGGGACTGGTCTCGAGGGAGCGCGAACGTGATGAAATTCAAAAGGTATTGTGGCCTCGGGAGCGCGAATGCGACGTAGTTTGCAAGGTATTGTGGTCTCGATCGCTCGAACGCGTAGAATGTTATAAGGTATTGTGACTTCGAGAGCGCGACCGTGTTGAAATCTACGAAACATTGGCCCCAGGAGCGTGCACGCGTCCTAATTTACGAAGGATTATGGCCCTGGGAGCCCGCACGTGTTGTAATTTGCATGAGATCATGGCCCTCGGAGCGCGCGCGCGAGCGCGTAGCAATTTACAACGGATTGTGGCCCTGGGAGCGTCTGTTTGCCGTATGTAATTCGAGGAAAGGGTCGTGGCCCTGAGAGCGTGACCTATAACATCTGAGACCTTGGAACTGGAATCGGTACTGGAACCGAGTAGCTGAGGACTGCTTGCAGGGTGCAGAAACTTGATCTTCGCAGCCTGGTGGCCCCCAAGGGAGCTGGTGCTTCATCACTTCGATTTTCATCGCACAGCTTGGTCCTATGGCATGGACGAATCCGATCGCATAGGCCGCAGTCCCCCTATGCTTCGGTCGTCTCGGCCTTGCTGACAGCCGCTCGCAGCTCACAGAAACTAATAAGTGCATTTTCCTGCCGTGCAGCCGCAATCGTGCGTTTGATTTGCGATGAGCTCAGTATTGAGCCCATTTTTTATCCCCTGGCGATGACGGGCGGTTCCAGGGGAACGAGCCGTCGACGAGGCCGCATGAAGCGGCAATGTGGCGGCAATATCGCCCAACACACCCAGCGCACGAGGTTACAACGAGGCGGCAACGGGCGGCAACGTGACGAAATCTCGCTGGACCCACCCAGCGCACGAGGCGGCAACGAGGTGGCAATGATGTTCCAACATGCGACAACGTGACGAACCCTCGTCAAACCAACCCAGGGCACGAGGCGACAACAAGGCGGCAACGGGCAGCAACGTGGCGAAATCTCGCTGGACCCACCCAGCGCACGAGGCGGCAACGAGGTGGGAAATGATGGCAACAGGGGGAAACCTCGCTGGACTCGCCTGGCACACGAGGCAGCAACGAGGCGGCAACGGGCGGTACCGTGGCAAAACCTCGCAGAACCCACCCAGCGCACCAGGCGGCACCGAGGCGGCAACGAGACGGCAACGTGGCGAAACCTTGCCAGATTTGCCCAGCGTGCGAAACGGCAACGAGGCGGCAACGGGGCGGCATCGTGGCAAAACCTCTCTGGACCCACCCAGCGCACGAGGCGGCAACGAGGCGCAACGGGCGGCGTCGTGGCGAAACCTCGCTGGACGTTCAGAAGCGTTGCCCGTAAGAGTTGCCCGTAAGAGCTGACCAGAAGGAACGAAGAGACAAATACAGTGAAGCGAAGCGGGCAACCAGGATAAACAGAGAGATCCCAGGGAGCAAGGGGGTGGCCTTGGCGGGCCTCTTCGGGCCATCCCTGGGGCTCGCGGGGGGGGCGAGGGGAGAAGGAGGAGGAGGAGGAAGAGGAGGAGGAGGAGGCGGAGGCGGAGGCGGAGGCGAAGGCGGAGGCGGAGGCAGAGGAGGAGGGAGGAGGAGGGGGCGGAGGCGGAGGCGGAGGCGGCGGAGGAGGAGGAGGAGGAGGAGCAGGAAGAGGAGGAGGAGGAGGAGGAGGCAAATCGCCTCTTGGGTCGCTCTTGGGGCGCTCTTGGGGCCGTCTCCGGGCCGTCTTGGGGCTCTCTTGGGGTCCTTTTGGGGCTCGCTTGGGGCCCTCTGGGGAGCCCTGTAAGTCCTCCGGTTGGCGTCTTATTGGGCGTCGATCAGAGGGGGGGTCTCCGATTTCCCCCCCCATCCCCTGGGGCCATCAAAATCGCCTCTTGGGGCCCTCTTGGGGCGCTCTTGGGCCGCTCTTGCTCTTGGGGCCGTCTGGGGGGCCTCTTGGGCCCCGCTTGGGCCTCTCTTGGGCCATCCAAGGTCCATCTTGAGGCCTCAACAGCTCATCGGGAGCGAACAGGCGAGAAGTCACGCATCATTTATATTTTATATGCTTGCTCTTTTGTGGAAGGATTTGGGCCTCTTGGGGTGTCCTGAAGGGGCTCCGGAGGACTTGGAAGGGGCTCGTGGCTCTCGGCCCTTTGGAGGTATGTCGTCAGCTATCTCGAACCATGTTCGGCCTTGAGCCGCCTTGGAGGCCATCTTGGAGCATTGGAGGCCCTCTTAGGGCCATCTTGGGCCATCTTGGCGAAACGGGCAACGGGCAGCAACGGGCAGCAACGTGGCGAAACCTCGCCAGGCCCTCCCAGCGCACGAGGCGGCAACGAGGCGGCAAACAGCGGCAACTTAGTGATATCTCGCTGGACCCACCCAGCACACGAGGCGGCAACGAGGCGGCAGCGGGCGGCATCGTGGCGAAACCTCGCAGGACCCACCCGATTACCGAGAAAGAGAAGTATTAACCTATTACTGTGGCGGCGCATGACACGAAACACCCCCTGTTTTGTCAAGAAGCCGCCTGGATCAGGCTACCCTGGGTTTCTTCATTTGCAGCCCAAGTGCAAGAAGCCCAACCCTGGACCAAGAAACCTCGGCGGATTTCAGGGTCGAGTCTTGCGGTGGGTTTCTTGTAGACTAGCCTCCACTGTAGTGCAACCGTTGTTTAAGGGAAAAAGGATCACTGCGATCGGCTATCGTGGCTTGTGGATTGCTTGGCCAGTTGATGGAATCATATTGACGGCAGCCATGTCAACTTGTCTGGCTGTTGAGGACCAGGACTACGAGGAGGGTGAGTGGGGAGAAGTGAACCATGAGATCCGAGATCTCGAAAAACGGCATCATTGAAAAATTATGACAGGAGACCTAGACCCGATATTTCCAGGGCATTTCTTGAGCAGGATCGATCAGTGAGGGCCCCTGGGGCCGAAGCTGAGCGAAAGCGCCCGGTGTGAAAAATGGCAGCGCCTGGATCTCACGGACCGAAGGGGCGGATGGGGAGGGTCAGGGAGATGGGGGATGGGAGGCGGATGTGGAAGCTCACCCCCACCCAGCTGTCAGAGGTGCCGACACGGGCACCCAGCTGTCTGAGGTGCCGATGCGGGTGGACAGGCACGCGAGGGGGCGCATCGACCCCCAGTCGCCCGTGGATCGCCGACAGGGGCCCGAGAGCTTCGCCCCGTCCGGGAGCGTGCGGATTCACGATCGGGGGCCCAGCGCCGATCTGTCGGCGAGGCATCGCCGATGCCGAGTCGAGGTGCCCCCCTGCGCCCTTCCCCCCTCCCCCCCAATCGCTGCCCCTCGAGGCCGTCAAGGCAGGCGCGCCAGCGGATCGACGCCCCCCAGCCACGGCGGCTCGGGCGGCTTCCTGGCGCGCGGGGTGCTGCTGGCCGCGCCCATCGAGGCGGAGGGGCGCCGATCGAACGGGCCGCCAGGCCCGGAGCGGGGCCGTTCTCCCTGCTGCTGCCTGCTGCTGCCTCCCCCCACTCTCGCCTTTGTCAGCCCTGCCCTCCAGGTCGTCACCACCCACCAAACCACCCCAACCCAACCCGAAGCCCTCAGTGTGCCTTCCATTTCCAGTGGGGGGGGGTCGGGGAACGTTGAAAAAACGCATGGTATCCGTAACCCCCACAACCCGAAATTCGGGTCAAATTCGGGTCTTCGGGTTGGGTTGGGGTGGTCTGGTAGGTAGTCAAGCCGCTCCTCCAGTCCAGGGGGAGCATGGCGAAGATGCTGTGGCGGATGCAGAGGATGGAGGTGCTTTTTTGATTTGGCAGCCACGGTCAAAGACCCCACCTGCGTAGATGGGGCAGACAGGAAAAGGCTAGGCTGGGACCCCGTCCCTCTTCGGGCGGAGACCTTTGCCAAGCCCTCTACAGTTCTCGCTCCTGTGTGGGTGAGCGGGAGGCCTGCACTGCGCACCCAGTTCGGCGAGCCGCTCACCTGAGGCGCACCACGCTCCACGACGCCGACAGATGCACACACACACACACACACACGCACGAACCGTCGCCACAGTCCAGCACGACGCAACTGTGTCTCAGGTCCCGCAAGTTACCAGCCTGGAACATATCCCTATCCCTATGCTGGGCACCTCCTCATCACGATGCCAATCTTAGGGATCCCCTTATTTTTTGAGGGCGAATCCCTAAGATTGTCATCGCCTTTTGGCGTGTCAATCTTAGGGATAGGGATACGTACGAGGCTGGTAAGCAAGGCCTTCGGGCGGACACCGCGGTGCTCGGTGCACCTGTCGCTGGGCGGCTTGAACGCCGAGCGGGAGCCCTGCAGACACCGAGGGCACTGCCCCAACGTGCGAGGCGGCCTGCGGCCTGCCGACCGGCGTCCACTCGTGGGGCGTCGACGACGGCGATGACGGAAACGAGAACGGGGATGACGGCGATGGTGACGATGATTATGATGATGGCGATGGTGATGACGATTATGCTAATGGTGATGTTGTTGTTGTTGTTGTTGTTGTTGTTGTTGTTGTTGTTGTTGTTGTTGTTGTTGTTGTTGATTATGATGATGATGACGATGCTGATGATGACGATGGTGATGACGATGCAACTGATTACGATGATGCAGATGGCTACGATGAAGGGTGACCATGACGATGGCGATGCTGCTGATAATGATGATGATGAGGATGGGGATGGGGATGCTGATGATTCTGATGATGACAATTTGCATGATGATGCTGGTGGTGATGATGATAACGATGCTGATGACCATGATGATGCTGATGATGATGAAGATGATGGCAATTATGATGATGATGATGATGATGATGATGATGATGATGATGATGATGATGATGATCACGATGTTGATGATGGCGATGGTGATGAGGATGAAACTGATTACGATGATTCAGATGGCTACGATGAATGGTGATCATGATGATGACGATGCTGCTGCTGATGATGATGATGAGGATTAGGATGAAGATGAGGATGGGGATGGGGATGCTGGTGCCTATGTTGATGACACTTTGGATGATGATGATGATGATGATGATGATGATGATGATGATGATGATGATGATGCTGGTTGTGATGATGATAACGATGCTGATGGCCATGATGATGCTGGTGATGATGAAGATGATGACAATTATGGTGATGATGCTGATGATGATGATGACGATTGTGATGATGAGGTTGATGAGGATGATGAGGAGGACGAGGGCGAGGACGATGACGATGATGATGCGGATGCTGATGATACTGATGATGCTGATGATGCTGATGATGCTGCTGCTGATGATGATTTCGATGATGATGATGTTGTTGATGATGCTGATGATGCTGCTGATAATGATGCTGCTGCTGATGATGATACTGCTGCTGATGATGCTGATGATGATAATGCTGATGATGCTGATGATGCTGATGATGATGATGCTGATGATGCTGCTGATGATGATGCTGCTGATGATGGTGATGCTGCTGATGATGCTGATGATGACGATTAGGATGATGAGGATGATGATAATGATGATGATGATGATGATGATAATGATGATGATGATGATGATGATGATGATGATGATGATGATGATGATGAGGAGGAGGAGGAGGAGGAGGAGGAGGAGGAGGAGGAGGATGATGGTGGTGGTGGTGGTGGTGATGATGATGATGTTGTCGTTGTGGCCCAACACTTGCTATTGTCGGACCCCCTGTATCCGCTTTGGCGCTTCCGCCTCGGCGCTGGCTGCAGTTACTTTGAAACTGAGGCTCACGCTCAAGCGTTTCGGGGTCCCGCCCAAACCAGCCCCCTATCAACAACAACGCTCCCGTACGATATTTCCTCACGCTTGACTCGGGGAGGCTCTGGCCAGATAGTGCCCGCACCTCAGGAAGGACGCCAGAGGGGTGTCTTTGAGAGCAGTTTTGCCGCTACTTGCAGATGCCGGAACGGCTGCTTCGTCTAAGTTTTTTTCGCAATTTAGCACCACAAGGGGGTCCTTCAGAAGCAGGTTGTGCCGGAACGTCCTTTTCGCTTGAGAATTTCTCGCAATTCAGCACCGCAGGGAGGTCTTTCAGAGCATTCTTGCCGCTATTCGTGGATGCTGGAACGGCCGTTTCGCCTGAGACTTTTTCGCAGTTCAGCAGCACAGGGGAATCCGTCAGAGCAATATTGCCGTTATTTGCAGAGGTCCAAGGAGGCCCCATGACGTTTCAGGGATATGTGTTCCGTAGTCATTTTGGCTCAACCAATCCTTTGGCCAAGAGACTTCTCACGGTCGGAGAGATGCGCGAGCTCGTTCACATCCAGGGCGGCCAGTGCGGTAACCAGATAGGAGCGAAATTCTGGGAGGTGATTTCAGATGAGCACGGGATTGACCCCACGGGCACCTACCACGGCGACTCCGACCTCCAGCTTGAGCGGATCAACGTGTACTACAACGAGGCCACGGGCGGGCGCTACGTGCCCAGGGCGGTGCTCATGGATCTGGAGCCCGGCACCATGGACAGCGTCCGCGCGGGGCCGTTCGGACAGTTATTCCGGCCAGACAACTTCGTATTCGGCCAGACTGGCGCTGGAAATAATTGGGCGAAAGGGCACTACACCGAAGGAGCCGAGCTGATCGATAGCGTCCTCGACGTCGTTCGCAAGGAGGCCGAGGGGTGCGATTGCCTGCAGGGTTTCCAAATGTGCCATTCCTTGGGAGGAGGCACAGGCGCTGGGATGGGAACCCTGCTGATCTCCAAGGTCCGCGAGGAGTACCCGGATCGCATCATGGAGACTTTCAGTATTATCCCCAGCCCAAAAGTTTCGGATACTGTCGTGGAGCCGTACAACGCCGTCCTTTCTTTCCACCAGCTCGTGGAGAACGCGGACGAATGCTTCCTGTTGGATAACGAGGCGCTGTATGACATCTGTTTCAGGACGTTGAAGCTGACGACTCCAACGTACGGGGACCTGAACCACCTCGTGAGTGCGGCGATCAGTGGCGTGACTACGTGCCTGCGTTTCCCTGGGCAGCTCAACTGTGATTTGCGCAAGATCGCCGTGAATCTGATCCCGTTCCCGCGCCTGCACTTCTTTATGACTGGTTTCGCGCCGCTCACGAGCCGGGGTTCCCAGCAGTACAGAGCCCTGACAGTCCCTGAGCTGACCCAGCAGATGTTCGATGCGAAAAACATGATGTGTGCGGCAGACCCACGTCACGGTCGCTACTTGACCGCCGCGGCGCTCTTCCGCGGTCGCATGTCCACGAAGGAAGTTGATGAGCAGATGTTGAATGTGCAAAATAAGAATTCGTCGTATTTCGTCGAGTGGATCCCGAACAACATCAAAGCGTCAGTTTGCGACATCCCCCCGAAGGGATTGAAGATGGCGGTGGCTTTTGCCGGCAATTCTACCGCGATCCAAGAAATGTTTAAGCGTGTAGCAGAATATTTCACTGCCATGTTCCGGCGCAAGGCGTTCCTTCATTGGTACACAGGGGAGGGCATGGACGAGATGGAGTTCACCGAGGCCGAGAGTAACATGAACGACCTGGTTTCCGAGTACCAGCAGTACCAGGACGCCACCGCCGAGGAGGAGGGCGAGTTCGACGAAGAAGAGGAGGGCGAGCAGTGATGACGTTCTTGATTCGCTGTGGCCAGCCTCCGAGGTCGTGCAACAGATGTGTGAGCAAACCAGCGCTGATGAGCCGTCGGCCAAGTACACATTCATGCATGTTGAGCGGCCGTTTCCCCGCTCACCGCGAGAATTTGCCTCGAGCTCGGACGGCCAGACTGCCAGACCGTCTCTACGAAAAAAGATTGCACCCCCCCCAAAACAAAAATGACGTTTCAGGGATATGTGTTCGGGGAGCGTTCTTCGGCCCCCCCGCCCCCCAAGGAGGCCCCCGCCCCCAGGAGGCCCGCTAAGGCGTTGTCTGTGTGAGGATTTGTGGTCGGGGAGCGCTTTTCGGCTCCGCTTGCAGGAGGCCCCAGGAGACAGTTGTCTGTATTGATACATGTGTGTGTGTGTGTATATATATTTATATTCGTATATATATATATATATATATATATATATTCGGGGAGCGCTTTTCGGCCCCCCCGCCTCCTGGAGGCCCGAGCAGGCTCCAAGAGGCCTCAGGAGGTGCTTCTCTGTACTGGCGCAGGCGTTCGGTAGGTGCTTTGGCCCCCGCAGGCCTCGCCCCTGCAGGCTTCGCCGCCACTGGCTTCGCCGCCCCTCTCCTGGGGCTCGAATCCTGTGTGGTTTATGACTGTTCCTAGAGGTTGTTGTGGAGGACCATTAATGGAGAGGGAGCATGTTGCCAAATAATTTCCAGATGTCTAAAACATGGTTTAAACATGTAAAGAACATGTTCATAACATGTTCAGAACATTTTTCCAACATTCTAAACACATTTTGCATTCAAGGATAGGACTGTTAGGTTGTCCAGTGTCGGGGCATCCACAATCCTAGAGAT